GTTTGACAACACACGCGGGAAACATTTTGCATTCTACCTATGATAAAACTTTAATGGTCTTCCACATTAACTGTTCCCTCCTGGTGGACCTGCCCAGCTCAATCCAAGCAGCTGAGACTTTAAAGGGGTCCATTATGCTTTTTCACTTTTTCAACTTTATTTAGTCTGTAATGTTGCTGTTTGAGCATAAAAAATATCTGCAAAGTTACAAAGCTCAAAGTCCACTTCAAAAGGAGATATTTTATTTAACAGAAATCCCTTTTCAAAAACTACAAGGAACGACTCGTTTGGACTACAATGCATATTTTCCGGGATTTGTGATATCACAAATATCGACGAATGGGACGAGACCTCAGCGTCTACTAATAGCGAATCTTTAAGTTAAACTCCTTCATGAACCTCTCTACTGAGAAATGTCATGTAGCTTTCCAGCTGCAAAACTATTTTACTGATAAATTCACGGTGCAGCGCTGACAAGAATTTCTGTTTGCGTCTCAGCGTGTCTGCACTGTGTGTGCGTCTGTGAGAGAGACTGGGAGAAAGAAAGTGTGATTTCCGTAGCCTACATAAAAAAAGGTGTTAGACATGAAAATAGTTTGTCATTTTTTACCCTATTGTTTGTTATATTTATTTGCTCAATGTCTTGAGCAATGCGTAAGTCCGGCCCTGTTAGACGGCAATTGGAAGTTATTACAAACACTCGATGGTGGTTTAAAGTGAGTTTTGAGTAAAAGCGGAATATAAATCTGATTTATTGTCTTATGTAGCATGATGCTACAGTTTGCATGAATGGTCACATAACACGCGCTTTCGGTCGTGTAACGTTAGTATGAACGGACATCTGCATATGATCGGAACTCCACGCAGCTCCCGCGCTACTCTATACTGATGGTATTACAGTACCACGAGAGCTAAAGAGAGCAGACTGCTCCGTGCACTTTCGAATCGCTCTCGCGGATGATCGATCTGCGCCGCGCCTCTAGTCGAACACACCGGCAAGTGCTGCAGGATTATTGGCTCACTGACACTGATGAGATTAACCGCTTAGGTATCGAAATTTGGTACCGAACGACAAGACGTTTTTCGATACTCGATGGTATCGAGGCAATTCGGTCGGTGCCTAAAAAGTATCGAACTCGATACCCAGCCCTAGTCCACGGTGAAAGCCGATCCGGTGAGCCACAGCACTAAGTTGATGTATTCCCTCAGCGACCAGCACGGATCAGCTCTAGGCATGACGAAGTGGATATCGTCTTCTTTTGGAAGACCAAACAAAGTAGTTTCGCTTTCACAACGAAAAACACTGCGGCCTAGCGTGAGCTGAGGCCGGGCTAGAGTGAGCAAAGGCGGCGGGGCCGAGAACGGCGCGGCCGGCGGATCCGACGAAGGAGCGGCAACCACATGTGACGACCCCGGGCTTCGTCCACGGTAGGGCTGGGTATCATTCAAAATTTTTCAATATCGATACCGATACTTTGACTTCGATACCGGTTACTGAACGATATTTTTTTCGATACCAATTTTATGAAATCAATTTTAACAAGATTACATTATCTAAAAAAAACATTTGGTTTTATTTTTCTGCTTGTTGATGTTTATACAAACTCAAAGACTCATCTCTGTGATAACAGAGGCTTGAGCCATTGATATGCAGGCTTACTCAGTTATTAATGCAGTCTAATGCGGTTATTAGAGAGAGAGAGAAAGTGCGTGTGAATACCTGCGTCTATGCGTCTCTCAGCAGCGTTCAGCAGCAGCGTCTACTAATAGCGAATCTTTAAGTTAAACTCCTTCATGAACCTCGCTACTGAGAAATGTCATGTAGCTTTCCAGCTGCAAAACTATTTTACTGATAAATTCACGGTGCAGCGCTGACAAGAATTTCTGTTTGCGTCTCCGCGTGTCTGCACTGTGTGTGCGTCTGTGAGAGAGACTGGGAGAAAGAAAGTGTGATTTCCGTAGCCTACATAAAAAAAGGTGTTAGACATGAAAATAGTTTGTCATTTTTTACCCTATTGTTTGTTATATTTATTTGCTCAATGTCTTGAGCAATGTGTAAATCCGGCCCTGTTAGACGGCAATTGGAAGTTATTACAAACACTCAATGGTGGTTTAAAGTGAGTTTTGAGTAAAAGCGGAATATAAATCTGATTTATTGTCTTATGTAGCATGATGCTACAGTTTGCATGAATGGTCACATAACGCGCTTTCGGTCGTGTAACGTTAGTATGAACGGACATCTGCATATGATCGGAACTCCACGCAGCGCCCGCGCTACTCTATACTGGTGGTATTACAGTACCACGAGAGCTAAAGAGAGCAGACTGCTCTGTGCGCTTTCGAATCGCTCTCGCGGATGATCGATCTGCGCCGCGCCTCTAGTCGAACACACCGGCAAGTGCTGCAGGCTTATTGGCTCACTGACGCTGATGAGATTAACCCCTTAGGTATCGAAATTTGGTACCGAACGACAAGACGTTTTTCGATACTCGATGGTATCGAGGCAATTCGGTCGGTGCCTCAAAAGTATCGAACTCGATACCCAGCCCTAGTCCACGGTGAAAGCCGATCCGGTGAGCCACAGCACTAAGTTGATGTATTCCCTCAGCGACCAGCACGGATCAGCTCTAGGCATGACGAAGTGGATATCGTCTTCTTTTGGAAGACCAAACAAAGTAGTTTCGCTTTCACAATGAAACACAGCGTCTCCACGGCATGGCGGCAGCGGCAACAATACTACAGTGAGAATAAAAGTTACGCCTTCTTTCTTTGCGTGAACATTTGGGCAGTGTTATGCAAATCTTCCCACATAGTGAGGTAGATATGGGGGGGGGCGTGTTAGAACGAGCCGTTTTAGGTAGGCGTGGCTGACTCTTAACTTTTATAAAGAATATCTCTTTGGATTTCAGACTTTAGTCTTTGCCACTTTACAGATCTTCTTTATGCACCAAGAGCTTGTAACACTCCAAAGAGAAAGGAAAAATTGAACTCGCATCATATGACCCCTTTAAGACTTGCACAAATAAAATTACTACCATATAAGCGGGGTAGGGCAGTATCTATGGTAACATATTAAACTGTAAAAGGAATAAAAGCATGATTTACAGTTCAGATACAGGTTTTCACAAAATAATAAACTTTATAAATTATATAAATAATAAATGCGGTTTCCCGGTAACGACAGTACACAAAGCAGTGCAACACCTGACCTTAATATGTGCAGCGCTCATGCTTATTCAATGAAATCACAGCCTTTTGAAGTTTAATCGTCATATAAATCTATATCGCAACACTGGTCTTTCCGTCCCCAAATGTAAGACCTCTTGAAATCATAATTAAGACTTTATTGCACAATAAAGACTTTTTATGGCCTTAAACTTGATAAAACTAAATTTAAGACTTTGTAAGGACCCACGGAAACCCTGAGAAAGCAGTTGTAACTAATGAGAAATAAACTAATAATTATATAAATTAGTAGTTAGTTACTAGTAATATTTGGGATAGATACCTCTGTCTCATAAGCTGCGTTTACACTGGCACAAAAAATAAATCCAATTTTTTACTCATGTGACACAGATCAAATATTGTTACACATGTGTAAACACAAAAATCGATTTTTTTGCATCCTTCTGAGCCACTTCCCAATGTGGTTTTAAATCAGATAGGCCTACATGTTCAATATCTGGACATCTGACCTATACTTCTAAATCCCATTGCAATTCCAAGTCATCACAAGGCCAGGGAGACTAGTATCTAATAAATAGGATGGAGAAGTATTAGCGCTAGTAAAAGTAAAGCTAGAATAAACACTATAGCAACTATTGGGATAGTTAGCATCTAATGCATAAAACTGGAATAAGCACCAGCAACAACTAAAACACATGCTAGTCATTTCTATCTTTGCCAAATTGCAAATATGCTATTTGTTACCGGTTACAATGGAATAGTTACTTGCCGCTACTATGATGATGAACAGCAGCAAATCAAGAAATTATTAGGCAACAGCTGATAATAGACTCTAGTCGCTTAATTATTTTTTACTAAAAACATTCAAGTGCTAGTAACATATGAAACAGATACTATTAAGTGTTGAAATGGCTTGCCATAGGCACCTGTTCTCCGGCTCTGTCGCTTCGTGTTATGTAAAAGCATCACATCATCCACTGCCATAATCTCTCAGACTAACGTTACATCAATCCTGTGGCGATTTGTGATTTTAGTTTGAAGAATAGCCAGACACAACACCGTATGCCATAACCTGCACTTGCTCTGATTACTTTAATATTACCGTAGACTTGAAAAATTAACCTTAATTAATACGATATTTTATAGATGTGTCTGAGTACCAAACCAGGCACTCATGGTGGTTGAATCCTGGAGCATTTCTTGCGCTGGCTAATATAATTTCACCTGAATTTATTCAAACAGATACTGTATGTGAAGTATAAACTTACCTATCCAGCAAGTATGATCCCAAAATACACAGCCTCCACGCGCACTCCTCCCTGCGATATAATCCTCCCGCTTAATTCCACAAAAATAAATATGCCTTTGTAGAATAGAGCGGGCAAACCAAACTCGGCGTGAGCGCTGTATTCGCTCGGACTGCTTGCCAAATAGCAGCCACAAACATGTATCTGTCGTGTGACAGATAGCGAGAACGTGCTCGCTGCCGTTGACCGCTGGTTCAATCCATTCACCGCACCGAGGGGTTTTCTGAAAACATGACACTGCATATTTACACTGCACTGGGATTAAACCACACCAAAAGAATATGACATAGTTTTCCTTTCAATACACGTCTATCACGTTTATACTATATTAATGAACATTTATAAAGCATTTCAGTCACTAAGCGGCTTATCTATACTAGATTTTGCGTTCTAAACAAACAACGTCACATCCTTCAGAATTCTTAATATTATTCTGTTCTTTTAACTTTTTTTTTTATTATTACAAAATGAGTGTGTTTTATGAGGCTAATTCTTTCTTTTATATCACACCACCGGGTCTAGAACTCTTGTTTCTCTCATGGTTTCCAGGAGATGACTTCAATGGCAGTGGATGCAGCTCTGTGGATGATGGCTTTAGGGTGTGTGAGTCTGCTCTTCAGCAGAGGCACATGCTCCAGCAGCTGTGCCCGGGCCCTAGGAACCTCTGCCAGGACTGTAAGGGCACGGAGGGCATTGGCACACACCGCCGTATTCTCACTCCCCACCAGCTGCAGCAGAGGGGTGATGGCACCTGCGTTCAGTGATTCGGTTTTACCTGGAAACAGGAAGACAATGAGATCTGGCCTAGCCTAGTTTAATCTAATCTAAGGGTTTTCAAACTGGGGTCCAGGACTCCCAGAGGGCCACAAGGGAGTGCTAAGGGCTGAGGAAAGTTCAGAGAATAAATAGTGGGGGGAAAAACTAGATTCTGGTATTATTACTATCTTCTTACTGATCAGAAATTATAAAAAATATTTTATTCTGCAGTCAACGTTTCTCTTCAGGTTTATACATCTAAAATTACTTTAATGGTGAGTAAAAAAGATGTAAATGTAATAATGTTCTCCAGGTATTATTTTACTCATTTATAACATTTTTGTTTTTCACTCACTGTAAAGTGTGGCGATTTGAGTAAACCTGTAGCACAACATTTTAAACAACATCTGTGTGATATCTTTCTAGATACACGTTTCCTAGAGGACCTAATCAAGTAATAGAATAATATAGAATTAGACATTTCTTTCCTTTGGAAGCCACTTACATTATTAGAATCACACACCTGTTGAAGTTTCTTTTAAAACGATGCTGGCCGAAACATCAGTTTAAAAAAAAATAATAATAATACAGTCAAGTTTATGTTTGTAGACCAGGGTTGTTATAGTTTAAAAAAATTAACTTTAACTGAAATAAAATATAAAAATGCTACATTTATTTTATGTCAGCTAGTTGCCAAGGCAACATGTTATTTTATTTTAATTTAGTTCAATTTAATATGTTAAAATAACTAAAACTGAAATAAAATAATAAAAACTATGCAGACATTTTTTTAAACTAATAAAAAACAATAAAATTTAACTAAAACTTTACAAAAACAAAAAATATAACAATAAAAACAAATTCAAAATATGAATAAAAACTATAATAGTATCTCATGATACTAAAATAAGACTGTTGTAGAGTGAGTGTTGCCCATTTTTCTTCATTTTCTAATAAATAAATGTTTTGAGTTGAATCTCCTCTACAGTTCAGGCTGAGCACCTGATTTTTCAGATTTTGTTTTGGACTGTAAAAAGGGTCTTTATACTTGAAAATATATAGCTGCCTTTAGCGGGCCCCTTGCAAGGGGACCATCATATTTGGGGGACCGTGGCATCAAAAAGTCTGAAAACCCCTGATCCGACGTATGTGCATATAACTAACATCAGCCGCATCTGGAGGTTTTAAAGGGGTAGTTCACCCAAAAATGAAAATTCTGTCATCATTTATTCACCCACATCATGACTCTGTACGACTTTCTTTCTTCTTCAGAACAGAAAAGAAAATGTTTGAAGAATGTCGGTTACCAAAACATCTACATTCATGTTCAACAAAATAAAAAACGTCATTTGAATTTGCTTTTTTGGGTGAACGATCCCTTTAACATTTACATACAGTACTATAATAGATGTTGAAATGTTTCTAACTTCACCAACTCATGCTTTTTGTCATGTTTCTAACTTGGCTCATAAATTACAAAAATGCACAGCTGAAACTTGATTTTGTGCTGACCCTTAGTGATAACAGCTGTGTTCATAATGGTCCCTGCAGCATTAGCAACAACTCCTTGGTCGTCATCCGACAGCAGCTTGACTAATATGGGCAGAAGATTCTCCTCACACACCTTCATCTTCCCATCTGCAGGCACACTAAGAGGGAACAGGAGATACAGTAAATGCATGCTTTTTATTTTAAAAGAGTCTCTGATCTCTCACCCTAGTGAACGTAACCCGAACTAGATTGTTGTGTACCATGTTGCCTACCTGATTCCCACTAACGCAGATGTGGCTGCCCGGCGGATGGCGGCGGAGGAGTGAGCGAGCTGATCTCTCAGGACAGGAACCGCACCACTCTCCAGCGCAGGCAGGGCGTCCACACTCACACAGCAGCTCAGTGTGGAGAGAATTAAAGCACGGATCCTCTCTTCTTCATCTGAGACCTTCAGCAACAGTTTGGGCACCAGCCCCATAGACACCATAAACACTGCTCCTGTAGAGGACACGACAGAGGACTCGTCAAATGAAAAGCTTCTGAAATACAAATACTGTATAAGAAGCATAAGAAACAATAGTCACCTGAGGGAAATTCAGCGATCCTGTTGAGTGCCTGGTGCACGTTTTTTCGACAGGCATTCTCAGGGTCCTTAATCAGGTTTGCGAGGGGACTCACAATGTCAAATTTCAGAAAGGCATCTCTGTACGAACACATATATCAATACTGAATACTTAATTATGGACAAAATGGCAAAAATGACTTGTGTTGCAAGTATTTCAATTGTTTCAAAATATCAGATCCATCCTTGTAAAACTAAATATTCAATTTTCAAAGTGTTGGCCACTCTAAAATGCTCCAAAATATTCTCTTCTGCTTATCAAAGGCTGCATTTATTTGATCAAAAAAGACAGTAAATCCAGTAATATTGCGAAATATTATTACAATTTACAATAACTGTCTTTAAATGTCATTTATACTGTATATGATGCACCGGACAACCGGCCAAATTAGAGCCAGCATCTTCATTTAAACAGCATTCATGTATTCACATTGTCATTCTTTCTTGTCTCTAGCATAAAAAAGCAAATAAATATTGAAATATTGGCGGTCGATATTGGAATCAGCCCATTTGCTTGTAAAAGACGTGGCGGCGAGATCTGAATCAGCCATGAAAAATCAAGATCGGTGCGGTTATTCCTGTGATGCAAAGCTGAGTTTTCAGCATCATTACTGCAGTCTTCAGTGTCACATGATCCTTCAGAAATCAGTCTAATACGCTGACTTGCTGCTCAAGAAATATTTATTATTATTATCAATGTTGAAAACTGTTGTGCTTCTTAATATTTATGTGAAAACGGCAATATTTAGGATTTATGAACAGAAAATTAAAAAATAAACAACTTATTTGCAATATAATTTTTTGCAACATTATAAACGTCTTTGCAGTGACTTTTGATCAGTTTAATGCATCCTTGCTACTGTAAATACAAAGAAATACAAAAAAATATCTGTGTCCCCAAACTTCTGAAGTTATTCAAACGTTAATTACAGTATAACTAATATTTTTATCTCGTTGCATATATTGTTTTTGTAAAGATATATAATAAATATTATATAAATATGACAAAATATGACCCTAATGTTGAGCCCTGTTAAGGTTTTACACTATAACAGTATGAAATAAACTGGCATCACATAACACATAGCCTATGTGGGGCAAAGCACATTCATACGCCAAAAGCTTACCCAAACTAAAACTCTAGAAACCTGTCGGCCCTCAGATTCATGACTCACCTTCCCAAGCTGTGTGAAGCAAGCACATAAAGCACTTCAGTAGTTTTGACCCTGACTAAGTCATCTTTATCTTGCAGCAAAATTTTAAGTCTTTCCATACAGCCTTATGAGGAACAGAAATTACAGTCATTACTGTAGGCCTACACAAGGATGTAGAAACAATTTGAAAGTGTTTTTGTTAATAATTAGATTGTAGAAAGAAATAACGAGCACTTCAATATTTAGCATATATATATATATTTGTTAATAAGGATGAGTTTACCGCTGAGAATGGCCTCATAGGCCCGCTCATGGTCGTGGACGAGGCCGCAGAGTGCAGCGAGCGCCCTCTGCCGGGTACACAGCTCCGCGTCCTGCAGCTCCAGCATCAGCTTCGGGATCGCCCAGCTACCGAAAGCCACCGGCGCCTGTGTGGGGTCAATATGCGGCGGGGGCTGCTCGGATGTCCGCGGGCTTGCCATCTTCTTCGTTAGGGCGCTTCAGATGTGATTTCATTCAATGTATTTACACTCTGAAAAGTTGCCTTCAACATTTTACATTCTAAATGTAAATAAGTATTCCTAATACATTTGCACGAGCATTCAAAATCATAATTTGCAGACTAACAAATGGTGTTAAGGACAATAATACCTTTTTCGCTGGATTGGATCGTCCGCCGCTTGTAATTATTTTCTTAGGTTGCTATGGTAACTACGGAACTAACGCAACGCTGTTCACCGGCAGTAACGTAAACTCCGTAACTCCTCCGTAATACAGAAATGAATCAATGAAAATGTTGAGTGTTTAAGACCTCTCTCACTTTTATGGGAAAAAGCACTTTTTTTTGGCTTCACCGAACACTCTAAAGAGGATGAAAGGCTGCTTTAAATGACATGATTTAAGCCAGTGCAGGGGTTATTTTAGTCTCTTGGGCCTGCGTGTTCAAAGCAGATCAATGTAGTAATATATACTATGATCTGCTCGATGATTTACAGACAGTTTGCTTTAATCTACAGTACGGCCTAATACTTTTGTTGATAATATAACATAAACAACAGGATGCAGGAAAGCTATAACTGTGAATCATGAATCAGTGAATTAGGATTGTTTCGAGCTTGTCAGTTGGGTATTGGCCACTGTAAAAATATATAATAAATATTATACTTTATTTCTTTAGAAATATAAAGTAAAATTGTGAAAATTCTTATTGACTCACATTGTTAAAATGTTCACCTTTTAAAATTATGGCGTTATTATAATATTTGAATGTATACCACTCAGTTATGATTTCTGGATTGTTATTGGTCCTCTTACATACATTTATTTAAATGCTGAATTGTGATTGGCCTTCATACTTACATTATTTACATACTGTATTGCGATTGGCCTTCATACTCACATTATTTACATACTGTATTGTGATTGCCCTTCATACTTACATTATTTACATACTGTATTGCGATTGGCCTTCATACTCACATTATTTACATACTGTATTGTGATTGCCCTTCATACTTACATTATTTACATACTGTATTGCGATTGGCCTTCATACTCACATTATTTACATACTGTATTGTGATTGCCCTTCATACTTACATTATTTACATACTGTATTGCGATTGGCCTTCATACTCACATTATTTACATACTGTATTGTGATTGCCCTTCATACTTACATTATTTACATACTGTATTGCGATTGGCCTTCATACTCACATTATTTACATACTGTATTGTGATTGCCCTTCATACTTACATTATTTACATACTGTATTGCGATTGGCCTTCATACTCACATTATTTACATACTGTATTGTGATTGCCCTTCATACTTACATTATTTACATACTGTATTGCGATTGGCCTTCATACTCACATTATTTACATACTGTATTGTGATTGCCCTTCATACTTACATTATTTACATACTGTATTGCGATTGGCCTTCATACTCACATTATTTACATACTGTATTGTGATTGCCCTTCATACTTACATTATTTACATACTGTATTGCGATTGGCCTTCATACTCACATTATTTACATACTGTATTGTGATTGCCCTTCATACTTACATTATTTACATACTGTATTGCGATTGGCCTTCATACTCACATTATTTACATACTGTATTGTGATTGCCCTTCATACTTACATTATTTACATACTGTATTGCGATTGGCCTTCATACTCACATTATTTACATACTGTATTGTGATTGCCCTTCATACTTACATTATTTACATACTGTATTGCGATTGGCCTTCATACTCACATTATTTACATACTGTATTGTGATTGCCCTTCATACTTACATTATTTACATACTGTATTGCGATTGGCCTTCATACTCACATTATTTACATACTGTATTGTGATTGCCCTTCATACTTACATTATTTACATACTGTATTGCGATTGGCCTTCATACTCACATTATTTACATACTGTATTGTGATTGCCCTTCATACTTACATTATTTACATACTGTATTGCGATTGGCCTTCATACTCACATTATTTACATACTGTATTGTGATTGCCCTTCATACTTACATTATTTACATACTGTATTGCGATTGGCCTTCATACTCACATTATTTACATACTGTATTGTGATTGCCCTTCATACTTACATTATTTACATACTGTATTGCGATTGGCCTTCATACTCACATTATTTACATACTGTATTGTGATTGCCCTTCATACTTACATTATTTACATACTGTATTGCGATTGGCCTTCATACTCACATTATTTACATACTGTATTGTGATTGCCCTTCATACTTACATTATTTACATACTGTATTGCGATTGGCCTTCATACTCACATTATTTACATACTGTATTGTGATTGCCCTTCATACTTACATTATTTACATACTGTATTGCGATTGGCCTTCATACTCACATTATTTACATACTGTATTGTGATTGCCCTTCATACTTACATTATTTACATACTGTATTGCGATTGGCCTTCATACTCACATTATTTACATACTGTATTGTGATTGCCCTTCATACTTACATTATTTACATACTGTATTGCGATTGGCCTTCATACTCACATTATTTACATACTGTATTGTGATTGCCCTTCATACTTACATTATTTACATACTGTATTGCGATTGGCCTTCATACTCACATTATTTACATACTGTATTGTGATTGCCCTTCATACTTACATTATTTACATACTGTATTGCGATTGGCCTTCATACTCACATTATTTACATACTGTATTGTGATTGCCCTTCATACTTACATTATTTACATACTGTATTGCGATTGGCCTTCATACTCACATTATTTACATACTGTATTGTGATTGCCCTTCATACTTACATTATTTACATACTGTATTGCGATTGGCCTTCATACTCACATTATTTACATACTGTATTGTGATTGCCCTTCATACTTACATTATTTACATACTGTATTGCGATTGGCCTTCATACTCACATTATTTACATACTGTATTGTGATTGCCCTTCATACTTACATTATTTACATACTGTATTGCGATTGGCCTTCATACTCACATTATTTACATACTGTATTGTGATTGCCCTTCATACTTACATTATTTACATACTGTATTGCGATTGGCCTTCATACTCACATTATTTACATACTGTATTGTGATTGCCCTTCATACTTACATTATTTACATACTGTATTGCGATTGGCCTTCATACTCACATTATTTACATACTGTATTGTGATTGCCCTTCATACTTACATTATTTACATACTGTATTGCGATTGGCCTTCATACTCACATTATTTACATACTGTATTGTGATTGCCCTTCATACTTACATTATTTACATACTGTATTGCGATTGGCCTTCATACTCACATTATTTACATACTGTATTGTGATTGCCCTTCATACTTACATTATTTACATACTGTATTGCGATTGGCCTTCATACTCACATTATTTACATACTGTATTGTGATTGCCCTTCATACTTACATTATTTACATACTGTATTGCGATTGGCCTTCATACTCACATTATTTACATACTGTATTGTGATTGCCCTTCATACTTACATTATTTACATACTGTATTGCGATTGGCCTTCATACTCACATTATTTACATACTGTATTGTGATTGCCCTTCATACTTACATTATTTACATACTGTATTGCGATTGGCCTTCATACTCACATTATTTACATACTGTATTGTGATTGCCCTTCATACTTACATTATTTACATACTGTATTGCGATTGGCCTTCATACTCACATTATTTACATACTGTATTGTGATTGCCCTTCATACTTACATTATTTACATACTGTATTGCGATTGGCCTTCATACTCACATTATTTACATACTGTATTGTGATTGCCCTTCATACTTACATTATTTACATACTGTATTGCGATTGGCCTTCATACTCACATTATTTACATACTGTATTGTGATTGCCCTTCATACTTACATTATTTACATACTGTATTGTGATTGCCCTTCATACTTACATTATTTACATACTGCATTGTGATTGGCCTTCTAGTTCCGTACATAATCAGACAATCAAGTCGGTCTTGGTCAAAGTCAAACGGTAAAGCGGCTGAAGTTGTGGTTAGCGAAATTTAGGAAATTTCATTTTCACAAAACCGAAGCATACAACTTACACTGGCTTAAAACTTTGTATAACTTGGCTTTTCTTTCACATTAGGATGTTATATTATTATATTCATTTTAGCATATTAATTCGTTAAATTTGTTTCTTATTTAATAATTAAATAAGAAAGTACATCTTTTTTCTGTTCTTCTTTATTGGAAAGGACTGAGTAAATATGTTATGGTTTTCAAATGGGCTACTGCAGTGAAGCTATTTATAAATGTAAATAAATGTTGCTATGACTATTATGCCGTAAGCTGATGACACAATCATTTGAATGTCTTGATATTTAATATGAGACCCTACAGTTAGTCGACCTTTATTCAGTCTTACAACATTATCGAGAAACAGTCCCCGCTTGTGTTCAAAAACATGCATTACATGGGGACTTCAGCAGGCAGGTTTTTGGTCCTTACTTGGGATTTGTGTTTTCAATATATTCGTTATACAAATATACTTTTCTTTTTCCGTAAAGATTAATCTAATAAACAATTTCAGGTATACATAAGAGATCATTTACAGAGGGAGAGAGAGAGAAACATACAATAAAGATAAACACAGAATCTGAGACTTCATGCAGAGCTCAGTTGATTTGTAGTTTTTTTTGTATTTGAGATACTTCTCTGTTGTAGTATGAAAAAGCACCTGCTGATATTATGGCACTGTTTTATCCTGGTTACAAAACAGACATAAAATCCTTGTTGTAGGAGGAAGACCTGTTGAACGGTCCATGATATCAGTGACTTTGGTGCAAAGTATTAAATGTAGTGAAGTTAAAGGGAGCTTTTATTCCATGGAGTAGTGCTGATGGTCTGTCCGTAATCCACATCCACACTCGTCCTTCAGATATAAACTGTACATTATTTCTTAATGTCTTAATGTCCTGTTTGACTATATACGGTCTGTATATGGCTACTGCCACCTGAACTCTGACGCAGATGCGTTGAATCAGCTACAGATCAGTAGTCTCACAAACAAAGGAAAGAAAATGAACAATAGCTAAAAGTTCTCCGAACTGCAGGATGTAAACAATCATGTTAACACAAAGGCCTCTACTAAAAGGTGAACTGAGATGCAGGTGCACAATCAAAGGAAGTGACCACAGCAGATGAAGTAGGCTTCATTGAACTTTAAAGACCATGTGAAATGGTTTGATGAAAGCAATTTCTTTAATATTTAAACAAGAAGTTGGGGCAAAACATAAAATATCAAAGGGCTTGTCTTTATAAACCGTTTACATCGCAGCCTAGGAAAACCATGATTTGCTACTAGCTATTGCTTGTTGGAGGCAGGCGGTACTGAAGGTTTGTCAACTTTTAATAGCATACTAGCATGTAGATGGTCTCAAAGCTAACCGATAAGGTCTAAAACCCACAAAACACCATTTTTGATTTTAAGAATTTCAAGGGGTCTTTAAAATCCAGATGCGGCCTGGAAAAGGAGTAGCGGGACAGGAACTATGGATCCAATAGCAGCTGGTCCGAGATCCGTCCAAGCTGTGGGTTTGTAACATTCAGTTTGGACAAGACCGAACCATGCTCTAAATCGAAAACTGTGTAATCAGTTAAGGCGCAGGTACATTTAACACTGCAAAATTTTGCAAATGAAATCCAATAATTTTAATAGGAATCTCCAAGATTAATCAACATCGCATTAATCAACAGAAAGCTGTTTGGTTTGAAAGTGACTTTTGTGTGAGAGGTGTTTCATGAATTGCTTCACTATTAACAGCGGAAAACCTTTTTGATGGCGAAACGTGGCAAATGTGATTGCACCTTTATTCATACATTTCCATGAAGAAGGTGACTGAATGAAACCAGTGATGAAACTAATACAAAATCCAATAGAAAATGGGTGAAATTAAATGGAGTTACAAAAAACTGACCTTCTTTTATTTATAGATCAAGATATTTTACAAAATAATCAAGAAAGTATTGGAATAACAGCAGTGCTAAACAACATTCCCAGTGCAAAAAGCACTGGTCTTGAAAGTTGTGCTACCAAAAACCCCTGGAAGTATTAAAATGTGGTTGAATTAGCTCCGTTTTATCCTTTCAGTCTGCCTAGACTCAAGAAAAAACAACAAAAAAACAACAACGAAGGTCTTAAGATGGTGTTATGCAATGAGACTTATGTTTAATTCTGTGCAGATGTCAGACTGCCGCTGCTCTTTGCTGGATGGCAGAAGGCTGGTTTGAGTATGGCACTGCAATGATTAGGACATTTTGCACCTGTATTTCTACTAATACATTACCATCAATAAGGTACACAACCCAAAAATACCACAAAGTTAATGCTGGCAAACTAACTGACAAACTGTGAAAATCCTAATCTGTTATCATGAGGAGATATCATTAAAAAGAAGAAGAAAAAAAAGAACAACCACTCTGTTATTAGAAAGCCTTTTTCTCAAGGCGGTCCAAGATGGCCTGGATCCTCTGAACGGCTTCTTTGCGAGCCTGTCGAACGTTGTCCTGTCCGTTGGTCTCCACCGAGTCCAATTCCAGCAGCTCTTTTGTTAAATGTTCCTCCAGGCACCGGTAGCTCTTGTCTGTCTTTTTCCCCACAAACTCATCCACGTCCTCTTGGAAGAGCTGAACTCTGGCCAGAACCTGCTGAACTCGAGCCAGGCTGGGATTATCGCTTAATGGGGCTGGAGTGGACGATCCTTGGTGGGAAGACGTTGGAGGTTGTTCATTCTGGGCTGGTTTGGGCTCAGGTCCTGCACCTCCGGAGGGAGCCTTGTTGTAGATTTGAGGCGGAGCGCTGAACTGGGCGGCATTGGGCGGAGGTGGAATTGGGCTTGGAGTGCTGGCTCGTGGTTTGGAGCCTGGATGCTGGTTTCGAGGGTGGATATGAGGCTGACTGTGATATGGTAGATCCTAAGAGAGATTAAAAAGTTCTTCAATATTACACAATATACCAATTCGAAAACTGCAATGTGCATTTTGCATGTGTTAAACCCAAAGTATACTCTGTTGTTGGTTTTTTTTACACGCATGCTAGAGTATGTGTGCGCATGACATATTCATCACCAGCATAGTATGCACAAACTGTACAGGTAGGGTTGGGTATCGTTTTATTTTTTTGCGATACCGGTGCCAAATCGATACTTTTAAAATGGTTCCGGTGCCTGAACTGATACTTATTAAAAAAATTAATAAATAAATAAAAATTCCCCAAAAAATGATGGATTGGCCATTAGCACTATAAACACATGATGCCTGTTTCATTCATACCGGACGCCAGAGGGCACCCTTGCACAGAAAATCCACATATCTAGTCACAGAAGTAGCGAACTCATGACCCTCCAGAAAATCCCTTATATGGACAATGGCATGCTATTATAGCTGTAACTAGGGCTGGGTATCGTTCAAAAATTTTCGATATCGGTAGATACTTATTAAAAAAATTAATAAATAAATAAAAATTAGCACTATAAACACATGATGCCTGTTTCATTCATACCGGACGCCAGAGGGCACCCTTGCACAGAAAATCCACATATCTAGTCACAGAAGTAGCGAACTCATGACCCTCCAGAAAATCCCTTATATGGACAATGGCATGCTATTATAGCTGTAACTAGGGCTGGGTATCGTTCAAAAATTTTCGATATCGGTACCGATACCTTGACTTCGATACCGGTTCCTGAACGATACTTTTTTCGATACCAATTTTATTAAATACATTTTAACAAAATCACATTATCTAAAAAAATATATATATATTGGTTTTATTTTTCAGCTTGGTGATGTTTATACAGACTCAAAGACTCATCTCCTGAGCCACTGCACAAAGCATTAAAATGTAACCAACACAATAAATCAGTGCAAATAGTTTTAATATCAAAAGCTGAAATAGACTTGTTTACACATCTGTTATAGGCTACATTTACACTAGTGCGTGTTCGTTTTAAAACGTATAGCTCAGACACTCATCATTGCTATTTATTTTCCACTGATTTACTGATGAGCATTAGCAGCTTCCAGCGCTGTCTGTCTGTCGGTGTTTTTTCTTCCACGAACGCTGTTCTGAGTAATATTTCAGCAACATTACGTGGCCAAAACACACATTAGACAGCAATCAGAAGTTATTAAAACACTTGATGGTGGTTTAAAGTGAGTTTTGAGTAAAAGCGGAATATAAATCTTATTGTCTTATGTAGAATGATGTGTGCATGAATGGTCATGTAACATGCACTTTCGGACGTGTAGTATGAACGGACTTCCCGCACTACTCTCCATTGGAAATGAATGACTTCCAGTCTGTCGTTTGTCGGAGATAGTGGAAAGCCAGCTTGAAACGCAGTGGAAACGCCAGTAGGCTATGATGAGGATCGTTTTCATTTTTAAACAAAAACATACTAGTGTAAATATAGCCTTACATGTAAGGGGGCTGGGCCTCACTATACTACACTATAGTGAGCCACATCTCTGAGTGTAACCGGTGTTAACTACAGTAGTAGGTGTGTTCAACTTGACGCAGACCGACTGTGCAGACTGATCAGTGTATTACAGTACGAGAGCTATAGAGAGCAGACTGCTCCGTATGCGTTCGAATCGCTCTCGCAGATGTCAAAACACTGATCGATCTGCGCCACGCCACTTCTAGTCGAACACTAGTGCTGCAGGCTTATTGGCTCACTGACGTTGATGAGATTACCCCTTAGGTATCGAAATTTGGTACTAAACGACGAGAAGTTTTTCGATACTCGATATCGCGGTAATTCGGCCGGTGCCTAAAAAGTATCAAACTCGATACCCAGCCCTAGCTGTAACTGAGTAAACAGAACATATAAATGTTTTGAATGATAAAACAAAGACAATAAACACTCGACTACGACAATATACTTTATCTGTGTTATTCAAGCCATCTCTGGCATTTTCATAATAATTAAGTATATTTATAATCCATTGCTAATTGATTTATTCTTTTTAAAGTAGCCTATGGAACATATTTTCTGCCTCATTCTGTGACAAGCCGCCACATCAAATCACAAAAAGAAGCATTTGACTGGATTTGTGGAGTAAAAAGGTTATGATGTTCTCTTTTGTTGGTCAACAGGTTTAGAAATGTGAATACAAGGGAGGTTTAGCTTTAGGCATTTTAATTTAAGCATGTTTAGCTTAGTTAACGGAAGGCTACCTTGCTGCCATCAGAGCAAGTGCATTCACGCACTCCTCGGATGCTCTCATTTCCCGATTTGTGCTTTTAAGTCGGAATGTGAAAACAACATGGACACTCGCGTTACTACAAAGATGTGTTGGATTTGTATTATTAGAGCTTTCCGACTTGAGTTCGTTTTATTTTTCAGCTTGGTGATGTTTATACAGACTCAAAGACTCATCTCCTGAGCCACTGCACAAAGCATTAAAATGTAACCAACACAATAAATCAGTGCAAATAGTTTTAATATCAAAAGCTGAAATAGACTTGTTTACACATCTGTTATAGGCTACATTTACACTAGTGCGTGTTCGTTTTAAAACGTATAGCTCAGACACTCATCATTGCTATTTATTTTCCACTGATTTACTGATGAGCATTAGCAGCTTCCAGCGCTGTCTGTCTGTCGGTGTTTTTTCTTCCACGAACGCTGTTCTGAGTAATATTTCAGCAACATTACGTGGCCAAAACACACATTAGACAGCAATCAGAAGTTATTAAAACACTTGATGGTGGTTTAAAGTGAGTTTTGAGTAAAAGCGGAATATAAATCTTATTGTCTTATGTAGAATGATGTGTGCATGAATGGTCATGTAACATGCACTTTCGGACGTGTAGTATGAACGGACTTCCCGCACTACTCTCCATTGGAAATGAATGACTTCCAGTCTGTCGTTTGTCGGAGATAGTGGAAAGCCAGCTTGAAACGCAGTGGAAACGCCAGTAGGCTATGATGAGGATCGTTTTCATTTTTAAACAAAAACATACTAGTGTAAATATAGCCTTACATGTAAGGGGGCTGGGCCTCACTATACTACACTATAGTGAGCCACATCTCTGAGTGTAACCGGTGTTAACTACAGTAGTAGGTGTGTTCAACTTGACGCAGACCGACTGTGCAGACTGATCAGTGTATTACAGTACGAGAGCTATAGAGAGCAGACTGCTCCGTATGCGTTCGAATCGCTCTTGCAGATGTCAAAACACTGATCGATCTGCGCCACGCCACTTCTAGTCGAACACTAGTGCTGCAGGCTTATTGGCTCACTGACGTTGATGAGATTACCCCTTAGGTATCGAAATTTGGTACTAAACGACGAGAAGTTTTTCGATACTCGATATCGCGGTAATTCGGCCGGTGCCTAAAAAGTATCAAACTCGATACCCAGCCCTAGCTGTAACTGAGTAAACAGAACATATAAATGTTTTGAATGATAAAACAAAGACAATAAACACTCGACTACGACAATATACTTTATCTGTGTTATTCAAGCCATCTCTGGCATTTTCATAATAATTAAGTATATTTATAATCCATTGCTAATTGATGTATTCTTTTTAAAGTAGCCTATGGAACATATTTTCTGCCTCATTCTGTGACAAGCCGCCACATCAAATCACAAAAAGAAGCATTTGACTGGATTTGTGGAGTAAAAAGGTTATGATGTTCTCTTTTGTTGGTCAACAGGTTTAGAAATGTGAATACAAGGGAGGTTTAGCTTTAGGCATTTTAATTTAAGCATGTTTAGCTTAGTTAACGGAAGGCTACCTTGCTGCCATCAGAGCAAGTGCATTCACGCACTCCTCGGATGCTCTCATTTCCCGATTTGTGCTTTTAAGTCGGAATGTGAAAACAACATGGACACTCGCGTTACTACAAAGATGTGTTGGATTTGTATTATTAGAGCTTTCCGACTTGAGTTCTCGTGCATTTTCTCGAGTTCGTCGGGAAATTATTTTTCACGTGCGGTACCGGTGATGATGCTTCTTACGTCTGTTGCGAAGAACCAGATGACAAATATTTCAATCGATCGCTCAAGCATGGCACCAAAATCTGCGTTCTGATTCGGTTCTAGTACATACTGGTTACATGGGTACCGGTGCTATATTGGTACCGGGTTTCGGTACCCAATCCTATGTACAAGTGTAACCCCATTTTTCCAACAGTGCATACTCTGTATGCTAGTGATGGGAGAAAGCTTTCGAAAGCTCAGAATAAACCATACTAAGAGCGTGTTCTCACCTGGCGTCTTTTTTGACAAGAAAAAGTTGACAGGTGCATTTTAGTAAAAAAATTTAAATAAAAAAGCTGGCAGCGTTTTGGTTACAAATAGCAGCTGAGCATCTTTTGTTGCTATAAAAACAGCTGCAACAGTAGCCTAGTGCTGTGTGGTGCAGAAATGTTGAGAAAGAGGAAGTTGAAGGAAGTTTGAAGTTAACGTGGAGGAGAATGTCGGTTCACAACAACGTTTGTGGGTGCATGACATTAGACAGGGAAGGAAACAGTATGGTGTTTACAACAATTTAGTCCAGGAGCTCCGGTTGGATGATGCACAGTTTGTGGCATATTTTAGACTAAACAAAAATCTAAACTAGTACGATAAGTCTGTCTACCGGCACCTTCTCCATTTTTTCTTGTTGTTATGGGAACGACTGGTCTCGCTACTCGCTTGTCATTGGTAAACTGTCAAAAAAGTGCTTGACGTAGGGCGGTTTTTTTTTCAGAAAAGCCTAACTGCTTGATAAAATTATTTACTTTTCCAAAGGACTGGAAACACAGCACCTGCTGGTCAAAAAAGTGTGAATGCAACAAAACCTTTGATACTTTTTACAAACCAATTGCAAATGTTTTCATGAAAATGTAATCTATTAAATGTAATCTACAATTAATTAAATCAGGGCTGTCAATAGATTAAAATTTTTAATCTGATTAATCACCCTTTTTGTGTGACTAATTGCGATTAATCGGACACTTATCATGAAATTAAGCATACACCATTTATCTTGTGTAACACATTCATTTTGTCATTATTTATTATATCCAGCAAATTAAACCAAAAGATTGAAGGGTGATTCTTACAAAACTGCATTTTCTGCAAGCTTATTTCAAGATGAATTTAGATGTCTTTTCAAAAAAGGACCAAATGATATAAGAATTACATTTGTGCACACAAAAGTAAAAAAAAAAAAAAAAAAACTTTTCCGAATTCAGTCAACTCAGCCATCACAACTTTACTTGACTTTAAAGTGGGTTGTCTTTATCCAGCTGAGAAAATTTAGTTTGCGGGATGTTTTGACGTTTCGTTCAGTCTGTATTTCACACAGAGCGATGCGTGAGCTTTCGCGCTCTTCAGTGACAATCACAGAATAGGACGGAGCTTAATAATAATTCTCGCAAGATGAGTCTCTATTGTCTCTGCCATCTCTGATGTAATCAGTGTGGTTTTCTTTACATTAGCGCTGTTTTGGATGGATTGTTTGAATGCATTCGCTTACTGGAACACTGGACTGAAAACTTTCCCACAGTGGCTTAAAATGATCTGATTGCAAACAGAGAAGGTCAGAGAAGAGAAGAGAAATCAGCTATAAGGTTTAGAATAACAAAATGTGCTTCAGTAATTTTGCATTAAATTATTTTAACGTGTTAAGGATTTTTGAACGAATCACATGCGTTGACGCATTAACGTTGACAGTCCTAAATTAAATACAATTAAATATAAAGGTTCTGTAAAATTGGTGTTTTATTCATTTGTAGTCCTTTAGAAGCAATTAAGGATTATTTTCCTTTTCGTATTATACATGCATGAGTAATAAAATTAATTTAATTAAAAATGGAGCTATAAAACTGACCCAAGATTAGTTAAAAACAAGAGATGCAAGGATGCAACCTGAGCCGGTTGGAAATCGATAAAAATGTGTGATAATTCAAGTTGGTTGGGATGTTAAAACGAATCGCGATACAATTACTGATACTGATCTGAACGAAACAAAAACAGCCCATCTGCTGTTTTTGTTTTGCCCAATTCAAGGGTGTCCAATTCTGTTCCTGGAGGGCTACTGTCCTACAGAGTTCAGCTCCAATCCATTAAACACACCTGAACCAGCTAATCAAGCTCTTACTAGGCATACTAGAAACTTCCAAGCAGGTGTGTTGAGGCAAGTTGGAGCCAGAGCCGTTGAATACCAGAGTTGCGACACTCCCACGTGACTTCCAAAAGAACTGAGGAATGCGGAAGTAACACGTGTCATGGAGCAGCCAATAGTTCCAAACAACCAAAATTTCCAGCATTAAAGGCCATTTATTTCAGTTCTTCTCAAGCACACTCGCTGGTAAATTAAAGAAATTGAAATTTGAATACAAATGAAGTATACTTTGAAAGGCTATGCATTTGGCTGTCAAAACTGAAGTATACGTTGGGTTTTATAGTAAGGAAATTCATTTGTTTTTTGAACAACTGAAAGTCTGAGATTAAGATTCTGTTGATTTTGAAACTTTGATTCGTTGCGAGAAACGGACAATTACTTTTAAAATGAGACTGTACAACCGCAGTACTAAATATGCAAGTGTCCATGTTTGTGAGTTGAAAACAGGAAATCTGAGTGTTGTGATGTACAGTAAGATGTTCTGATAGTGGGAGAGTTGAGCTGTCTTATGTAATCAGTTTTGGGAGGGAAGAAGTGTTTACATGAGGTGAACCCAGCACTCTCTTAACAGCACCCTTCCCACTGTGTTTTTGCCAAAGTGCCCGTCATTATGTTTACATGCACTTTAGAAGTTCGATATCTGGCAGACTGATGCAATCATTTGTCTTTATAAAATGTCATGTAAACATTATACTCTAAAAACGAAGTAACAAATCCAGATTTATTTTGGCCTCACCATGGCCTCGGTGTCGTACGCTTGCTCTGAAACACAGGGGTGACACGCAACGTGCATTAATTCTTCAATATTCAAATGCAGTGTCATGTAACCTAGGACATATAGATGAAGACTGCAGCTCGACAACGCAAAAACTTGCTATAGCTTGATTATAAAACATTTCAAATGTAAGATTGAAACCTGTAATGATGTAATTTCTATGACCTACCATCATATTTTAAAGTAATAGTTCAACAAAAAAAATTACTCAAAAATTATTAGTAATTTTTTAGATGGAGAAGTTCAGTAGTATGGTGGCAAATCAAGTTATGCCTTAAAATTGAGTCATTAGACATTAGATCACTCGCACCCAAAGCAGTTATTGTAAATGAAATGATCACAGATAATCGTTTTGATGTACTCTGCTTGACTGAAATCTGGCTAAAACCTAATGATTATATTGGTCTAAATGAGTCTACTCCACCAAGCTACTATTATAAGCATGAGCCCCGTCAGACTGGTCGTGGCGGCGGTGTTGCAACAATATATAGTGATATTCTCAATGTTACTCAGAAGACAGGATACAGGTTTAACTCATTTGAAATACTAATGCTTAATGTTACACTGTCAGATATGCAAAAGAAATCTATCGTATCTCTTGCTCTGGCTACTGTGTATAGACCACCAGGGCCGTATACAGATTTCCTAAAAGAATTTGCAGATTTCCTCTCAGACCTATTGGTTACTGTTGATAAAGCACTAATTGTCGGAGATTTTAATATTCACGTTGATAATACAAATGATGCATTAGGACTTGCGTTCACTGACCTAATAAACTCTTTTGGAGTAAAGCAAAATGTCACCGGGCCCACTCATCGTTTTAATCATACGCTAGATTTAATTATATCGCATGGAATTGATCTTACTGATATAGATATCGTACCTCAAAGCGATGATGTTACTGACCATTTCCTTGTATCGTGCATGCTGCGTATTACTAATATTAACTATATGGCTCCGCGTTATCGTCCGGGCAGAACTATTGTTCCAGCCACCAAAGACAGATTCACAAATAACCTGCCTGATTTATCTCAACTGCTCTGTGTACCAATAAGTACACATGAACTAGACGAAATAACTAGCAACATGGGCACTATCTTCTCTAATACATTAGAAGCTGTTGCCCCCATCAAATTGAAAAAGGTTAGAGAAAAACGTACTGCGCCATGGTACAACAGTAATACCCATTCTCTCAAGAAAAAAAAACTCGTAGTCTTGAGCGCAAATGGAGAAAAACTAACTTGGAAGTTTTTAGAATTGCGTGGAAAAACAGTATGTCCAGCTATAGACAGGCTCTAAAAGCTGCCAGGGCCGAGCATATCCACAAACTCATAGAAAATAACCAAAACAATCCTAGGTTTTTATTTAGCACAGTGGCTAGATTAACAAATAACCAGACGCCACCCGATCTAAATATTCCCGCACAGTTTAATAGTAATGACTTTATGAATTTCTTCACTGATAAAATAGATAACATCAGAAATACAATAACAAATGTAGATTCTACAGCGTATAATACTTCAGCTTCATTCATCGCACCAAAAGATAAACTGCAGTGCTTTACAGCTATAGGACAGGAAGAGCTAAATAAACTTATAACTGCATCTAAACCAACAACATGCCTATTAGATCCTGTACCCACTAAATTATTAAAAGAGTTGTTACCTGTAGCAGAAGAACCACTTCTCAATATTATTAACTCATCGTTGAATTTAGGTCACGTCCCAAAACCATTCAAGCTGGCGGTTATTAAGCCTCTTATTAAGAAACCACAACTAATTTAGTTGATAAAACTGCGGGGCAGCGCTAAAAAGTTTGTTCCTGAGTTCGGCCGCAGCGTAATCTGTGTGTGTGACTGAACATAACACCAAACTGCTTCTGTTTCACACAAATGCTGGCACAGACGTGCATGTTCGGCTAGAGTCGCTTTGAACTCGTGCATCTTCGGAAGCAGAGCTACACGGAAACGTAAAAAAAATGTTGTGCGCACCGCCACGCGAAACGACGTCGCGCGCACTCAAAGCGAACTTGCGGACGCTTGAGAGTGTGTGCGTTAGATACAGTGAAGACAGCGCGTCCTGCTGGGTAGCCAGGGGCCTAACAGGGGGGAAAAAAAGTCCAGAAAGAACTATGACATTGAGAGATACTTTTTCATGTGGTACAAGCAAAATGCAGGGGGGGAAAAACAGGAAAACAGAAAGTGATTAAAAAATTAAAATCCAGAAGTCAACAAGTCTCTTAAAATATCAGAATATTAGTTCTGATGTCATGATGTCAAAATGTCATGCGGTGCAACTCCCCAAAACGTTCATGATGTTTAAAAATTATTTAACTAAACATTTAAAAAAAAAATTTAAATAATGATCACAATATGTATTTACTATTATAGTATTCATTAATATTTTAAATTAGCTTTTTTTATATTTTCAGTTTTTATTTAAATTTTAGTAATTTTGTTATGTGCTTTTGTCATTTTTATTAGTTTTTAATATTTATATTTATCTCATTTTAGTACGTCAACTTATTTCAGTTACAGTACATTAAAAGGGTTTAATCAAATTTTTATACTTTATTTTAATTACCAAAACAATAGTTAACAATAACAATGCTGGTACATTCATGCATTCAGAAGAGTTTTTCATCTTAAATTTACATTTACATTTATTTATTTCTTTGCATTACCAAAAAATATTTAACAACAGCAATGCTGTTACACACATTTATTCAAGGTTTAAGACATTTTTTTATTTCATTTCACTTGTTTGTTACACCACATGACAGTTTATCATTAAATTTAAATGTTTTTTTTTTATTTGAATACAAAGAATACATTACTAAGAACTTGGCACATGTTTTAAAGTAGATTTTTAAATGATTATTAATTTTCTTTATTATGGACACTACTTACAATTGACCCAAAAATTTGTACAAAACTAAATAAACAATCTTTTATTATGTTTACATGTAACTGAATTTACCCCTTGGCAGTGAGGAACGGGGTAGGGGGGAGGAGCTGAACCCCCCGCATTTTGTTCAGGGCAGGGCTGGCTGTGATACTGAGGCTGTCTTGAAGGAACCTGGTTACTGCAGTAGAAGGGGTTGGAGGGATGTAGCATACTCGAGGAGTACTGTCCTGGATTGTACACCCCATTGGAATAGCCTGACATTGCCTGAAAAGGGCACGGCAGAGTGAAGCGAGATAAGTCTGCTGTGTATTTGACTGACTGACAGAGGGTGTTACATAAGCCTGAAATGTCTGCAGTACCTGGGGATTGTATGAGGCCTGTCCGTTGACCTCTGTTCCAGGGGGGTATGTGCTTCCATAAGGTCCCGCCGTGTGCGATTGGGGATACCAATAATTAGAGTAGCCGGGATACTGAGAATCCTGAAATAAAAATGGTTATAGTTTATACGTTACAAACTAGGGTACAGAATTTTTTTTGCATTAATCTGTTAAACATGTTCAGAGGTATTAGTTATGATTTGGTGGTGTGAGAGCTTTTAAGGATAGTAAGAGTAATAATGTCATAATTTGAATACAATATATTACAATAAAATAATATAAACATGGTCACTCATTTCCCATCTGCTCCCAAATCACAACGCAATACTGCATACTGAAATAAATAAATAATAAATTATATATATATATATATATTATACACTCACACACACGCAGTATCTCACAGAAGTGAGTACACCCCTCACATTTTTGTAAATATTTTATTATATCTTTTCATGTGACAACACTGAAGAAATTACACTTTGCTACAATGTAAAGTAGTGAGTGTACAGCTTGTATAACAGTGTAAATTTGCTGTCCCCTCAAAATAACTCTTTTTTTCAGATCCTCAGAGAGTTCTTTGCCATGAGGTGCCATGTTGAACAGTATGAGAGATTGAGAGCGATAACACCAAAATTTAACACACCTGCTCCCCATTCATATCTGAGACCTTGTAACACTAATGAGTCACATGACACCGGGGAGAGAAAATGGCTAATTGGGCCCAGTTTGGACATTTTCACTTAGGGGTGTACTCACTTTTGTGGCCAGCGGTTTAGACATTAATGGCTGTGTGTTGAGTTATTTTGAGGGGACAGCAAATGTACACTGTTATACAAGCTGTACACTCACTACTTTACATTGTAGCAAAGTGTCATTTCTTCAGTGTTGTCACATGAAAAGATATAATAAAATATTTACAAAAATGTGAGGGGTGTACTCACTTCTGTGAGATACTGTATATATTAGACTCACATAGAAATGTTAATAAATGGTTAATGGCAATTATTATAATTACCAGTAAGTGCAATCAAAAATACAAACTACAATGAAAATACAAAGTAGAAATAGGTAGACAACTAAATAATCCTTCCTAGCAGCAAGTAATAATTTAAACAACAGATCTCAAAACAAAGTATTAAGCAAAAATCTTCTTCTGAGGAGGTGGTGCTTATCCCCACTATTACATCATAGAGTGGTACATTCCACTAACTGTTGTTTTGGCAGACTGCCTTCAATATAAGATGTTAGACTAACGAGAAAGTTTTGTGTTCTGAAACTTGCAGGATGTTTTTATAGTACAATGACCTCTTATATGTCAAAAGAGCAAGGGAATTTGGTTTCTCAGTTCATGACCCCTTTAAAGATGAATTTTAAGTGATGGTTAATTGATGGCACAGGTAATCTAAATGTTAAAATAAGGGAAGTGAGTATGAACAATTGAATTTCCAACAAAGCAATACATCCAAAAATATATGTGGCAATTATTATAATTACCAGTAAGTGCAATCAAAAATACAAACTACAGTAAAAATACAAAGTAGAAAAACGAAATATTCCTTCCTAGCAGCAAGTAATAATTTCAACAACAGATCTACAGTTGTGCTCAAAATTATTCATACCCTTGATAAATATGATCAAAGAAAGCTGTGAAAATAAATCCACATTGTTTATCCACTTGATCTTTCAATCAAAAAAAATAAAAAATCTAACCTTTAATTAAAGTAAAAAATAAAAAAAAGTAGGGGGGAAAAAAAAAAAAAAATCACATAACGAAATAAATATTTTTCTCTAATACAGTTAGAGGACGTGTGTCTATATAGTCTTAATGCACGGTGAGGAGGAGAGTTTGAGTGGCCAAAGATTCTCCAAGGATCACAGCTGGAGAACTGCAGAAAATAGTTGAGTCTTGGGGTCAGAAAGCCTCAAAACAAAAAAAACTATGTTGTTTGGGAGGGTTTCAAGAAAAAAACTAGAAAAGAAAACGCTCTCATCCAAAAACAAACTCCAGCATATTTATTTGCTAGACACGACTGGAACTTTAAACAGGACTGGGTTCAATGGTCAGATGAAACTAAAAAAATGAGCTTTTTAGCAGCAAACACTCAAGATGGGTTTGGTACTGCATGTGTACAATGAAATATACTGCTGGATCTTTAATGTTGTGGGCCTAGATTCTGGATATCTTGTTCAGATAGATGGCATAATGGATTCTATAAAATACCAATGGATAGAAAATTAAAAACTGACTGTCCATGCTAGAAATCTTATAATGGGCCATGGCTGGATCTTCCAACAAGACAATGATCCACAATCAAACATCAAAATCTAAACAAAAATGGGTCACGGAGAACAAAACCAAGCTTCTGTGGCTGCCCTGGCCTACCCAGTTCCCTGAGCTGAACCCTATAGAAAATGAGTGTGGTGAACTGTAGAGGAGAAGCATCAACATGCAGCTGGAAATCTGAAGGGTCTGGAGAGATTATGGATGAAGGAATGGTCTCTGATCTCCTGTCAGCTGTTCTCTAAACTCTTCCGGCATTATAGGTGAAGACTCAGAGCTATTCACTTAGCAAAAGGAGGTTGCAAAAAGTATTGGATAAAAGGGTATGATTAATTTTTATTAATTTGTATTAGAGAAAAACATTTATTTCATAATGAGATTTCTCTCCCATTTTAAATTCTTATTCTCCAATGAAAGTTTAGATTTTAGTAAATTTTTCAAATAAAATATCTAAAGGATTGATACAGAATTTTCATAGCCTTCTTTGATCATATTTACCAAGGGTATGAATAATTTTGAGCACAACTGTACAAACAAGTATTAAGCAAAACACTCACGCGCTGCCGTCCATCTCTTCTGTTGACTAATCGCTTCTCCAAAGTTAAGACAGTGACCAAGCAGTTTAAATACTCTACAGTCATGCGGCCACCTTCTAATTAGCACAGCCAATAGCCTACAGCAGGGCAATTGCTCAAATCGAAACTACAGTTCGCACTTAAGTGCAGGAAGGAAGCAATGCAAATAACACAGGCTCCTTCTTAGCCGACGGCAGTTATTATAATTTCCAGTAAGTGCAATCAAAAATACAAACTACAGCGAAAATACAAATATTTTCAGATATTTATCAATATCTTTTTGCAATATTTGTCAGATATTTATTAAAATATTAATAATATCAGGTAATACCAATGTCATTATTCCATATTTCTTGTGCTACGAGTTCAATGTTTTCTGAGTCACAACCATGTTAAGTAACCGTCATATAAAATTTTAGAAATTAAATGGGATTTTGTAAATAATTTGCCTCATTATAAGTATAGGTCCTATTAGTAACTACAACAACACCAGAAAAACAAATGGCTACTATATTTTTAACACGTGATGAGAAATCTTAATAATTTCGAAACCATGCTGTAGTGTAAATTTTTGTATTTATTTAAAGGGGTCATATGATGCTGCTAAAAAGAACATTATTTTGTGTATTTGGTGTAATGAAATATTGTTTCTCCTCTATGCCCCACTTTCTGAAACACGTAGATTTTTGCAAAGCTCATCGTTCTGAAAAAGCGAGGTGTGCTGTGATTGGCCAGCTATCCAGTGCGTTATGATTGGCCGAATACCTCAAGCGTGAGACGGAAATGTTACGCCCCTTACCATATTGTTGATGCCGTGTCCGGCCGGAGCGACGAGACAAAAACATTAAAACCCATTACAAACGAGTTATGCAAATCTTCCCACATAGTGAGGTAGATATGTGGGGGCGTGTTAGAACCAGCCATTTTAGGGGGGCGTGGCAGAGTCTTAACTTTTATAAAGAATATCTCTTTGGATTTGAGACTTTAGTCTTTGCAACTTTACAGATCTTCTTTATGCACCAAGAGCTTGTTACACTCCAAAGAGAAAGGAAAAATTGAAATCGCATCATTAAAGACCCCTTTAAAGACATCGCCAGATCGGTCAATATTTACAAAATATATTGGACACCTTATTTTGGTATCTGATGATGCTGATCCATACAGAGTGATATAAAAACAGACATTTTGTCCGTACTCTGAATGAGTGAGTGAACTGTTCATTCTCAGGCTCAAGTAGAAGTTATCCAGGGAATAAAAACTTACTGAGAACACAAGTCGAGGAGGATTATCAACCCTGTGTCCTTTTTAAGGCATTTAAACCCAGGTTACTTCAGGTGGGACTACACAAACTGTAAATAAGATGAATGTGTAAGGAGTCATCGATGAAAAACAATCACGGAGTTGGAAAAAGGATCACCCCTTTGCGTCAGTATTTTGATGAACCAACTTTTGCTTTAATTACAGCCTTTAGTCTGTTGGGAAATGTGTCTGCTGACTTTGCAATATTTGCTCACTCTGCTTTTCAGAACTGCTCAAGTTCAGTTAAAAGGTGAGCGTTTGTGGACTGCAGTCTTCAAGTCATTCCACAGATTTTCAGTGGGGTTTAAGTCTGGGCTCTGACTAGGCCATGCAAGGACATTCATCAGGGTTTTCCCATACATTGATTTATTTGTAGCGGCCCGCCACAATATCAACACTGACCTCCGCAACTACATTTTTCAACATGAGCACTGCACGTTTCAAAATCAAAACACGGCACGGGTGTTTTTATATAAATTTTTCTTTTTTTGAAGGGAACCGATTGCCTTCAGAAAGGTTTTGATGGCATTTTCATTTAATCTTTCCTATAATGCTGATGAAGCGTTCGTGAGTGCAGCGCTGCTTTGATTACAGCCGTTACCGGGGAAACTGCTATTTCTGCAGCTCCTAAAGCGCCTCCTGCTGGCAGAGAGTAAATTTGCATTTTCAATCAGCCCGTCTGCTGATTATAATTTACAGTATATACATATACATTTCCCCCAGAAGAAGTGCTGCCACATAGAGTGCACGTCTGTGGGAAACACTGCATTCACCTTTTTCTCCTTCAGACACTGTGTGTGCTCAGTTTAGCTGTGTGCTTTGGGTCACGGTCATGTTGGAAGGTAAACCTTCTTCCCATTGACAACTTTCTGGCTGATCCAGGGAGGATCTGTGTTGTACCAAATACCTATCACTTCTTATTAGCACTGTGCTTCTAGGCATTGTTAAAGCCTTTGGCATTTTTTGGTCTCCATCTCCTGACTTGTGCCTGTCCACAACTTTATCCCGGAGATCTCTTGACAGAGCCTTGCCACCCATAGTTGATTGTTTGCTTCAGTTGCACTACCAAGGCCTGAAATGCTCCAGAAAAGCTCTTTTCATGCTCAGCTGATCAAAATGAGCACAGCTGATCACAGTTGAAAGTCAAATGGCTTTCTGTGCCATTGAGAAGGTGATTAGCTACACCTGATTGAGTTTACAAGTCATTTTTAGGAGGGGGTGATCCTTTTTCCAACTCAATTATTGTTTTTTTTTTTTATTCAATTTTTTTTCTGACATGTTGGTGTTATATCATTTACTTGGATGTTATAAGTTGCATTAAGTAAATCTATCTGTCTATCTATCTATCTATCTATCTATCTATCTATCTATCTATCTATCTATCTATCTATCTATCTATCTATCTATCTATCTATCTATCTATCTATCTA